GTCCGAAGGCGGGACAGAGAGTATGAAGTAGGTGATCATGTTTTTGTAAAAGTGACACCGATGAAGGGCCAGACTCATTTTGGAGTCAAGGGTAAGCTAGCGTCGAGATATGTCGGACCGTACGAGATTATTGAAAAGATTAATCCGGTGGGGTATCAAATAGCGCTTCCTCCTGAAATGGAGCATATGCACAACGTGTTACATATTTCAATGTTGAGGAAATACCTTCGGGATCCCTTCCATGTGATTGAGCCTACCCGTGTAGTGCTAAGTGATGACTACACTTATGAAGAACGGCCTATACAGATTATAAACAAATGGATCAAGAAGTTGAGGAACAAGGAGATTCCGTTAGTGAAAGTTGATTGGCAAAACCATGGTGGCGTGTATGGCACTTGGGAAAGGAAATACGATATGATCAAGAGATATCCTGAACTGTTTCCACTGAATCCGATATTCTTTCAAAATGAAGGTAATTCGAGTTTGGAGGACCAAACTCTTTGTAAGGAGGGGGGACCGTGACAACCCTCACCGCTGATTAATGCAAATCTATGATAAGCACGTTAACTGACTGATTGACTGAAATTCTGAACTGATTGATAGATTGTGTTAGTTAAATGCATTCCTATCTGTCTGTCATTGAATTATCTGTTCGTGTTTTAAGTTTCGAACTGTAAATTGAAGGCCTTATCGATGGCCGAATCTGAAATTGATTAATGTTTTATACTAATTGAAATTTATGTGATTTTATGGTATATTTAATTGAAATTTGATTTAGGATAGTTAAATTAGATTTAATAATGTTAAATTATAAGAGTTGGACATATTCACCAAAATGCCACTTAGTGGACTTTTATGAGCCTTTTATTTGATTTCTATATGCTAGCATTACAACACTTCATCAGCCCTTTTTTGAGTCCAAACCGATTGAGAGAGAGAGAGCGAGAGAGAGAGAGAGAGAAAGAGAGAGAGAGTAGGAGGATAGGCTTGAATTCATCAAACTTAACTTGGAGACTTGAAGAAATTGAAGGTTGATTGCATAATTGAGCCTCTAGACTTGTAATTGAGGAACCTAGGTAAGGATTTCATCCTTTTAATTGTGAAATCAAGTTGTATTTTGCATGATTCATGGTGGATAGGAGCCTAAGGTCATAAATTGGTTGAAGATTGTTGAATTGAAGCTTATATCATGCATGCATCTGCATCTCTTGAAGTATAGAGTTGTTTTCATGGAAATTATTGCATGCATGTTCATATTTTTGTTATAGTCCATGAACTCACCATGTTTTGAAGTTAAATCTTGCATTTGATCTTGTTTTAGAACATTGGAGTTTCAAGGAACTCATGCATGTGTTGAATTTGCATTGTTCTTCATGTTCTTGAAGTTTATTTGAAAATTGTGTTTAATTGACTCACCCTTGGGCTTTGATTTTACAAATTGATCTTCAAAACAGGTTATATTATGGGTTTAAAGTGTTATTCCAGAAATTGGGCCCAAGAGGTTGAGTTTTGATGCATTAAAGTTGAGTTTTGAGCTTGAGGTTCAAATTTGGATATTCCAGATTTTGGACTCACGCTCGAGCGAGGAACTCCACGCTCGAGCGTACGCCTTGTGTTCATGCAATCCGCTCGAGCGAGGAAAGTGGCGTTCGAGCGTGAAATGCGTGTGTCCAGTACTTTGCATGTGTTTACAGTCCGCTCGAGCGAGAGAGTTCATGCTCGAGCGAAGACTTGTGTCTCACGCTCGAGCGTGGATCGAGCGCCCGTCGAGCGTGATTTTTGTGCATCCAGTACTTTTACTATAGCTTACAGTCCGCTCGAGCGATGGAAGTCACGCTCGAGCGGAGCTCCTTTGTCTGCATGTCCGCTTGAGCATAGAAAGCCACGCTCGAGCGAGACCCCTGTTTTCTGAAAATTCTGAAAAGTGTTTTAAAATGCATCTTTGTATCCTCATTTCATCCTAGGCATTCCTAGACCTAGTTTAAGGCATCTTATTGAGGATATTGATGTAGAACCACACCGAGGCAAATTAAAGATTAAGTTATTATTTCCCAACTGTGTAGCTTAGTGTGTGTTCGTTCTATAACTGTGTAGGGTTGGCATCCGAGGATGCTCTAGCTGCTTATAGCCCAGTGCTCTGTGAATAACAATGTTGTAAAGATATGTTCAATTGAGATTATTTTCTGAACAAATGATTGTACTGTTTTATGAAATGACACTGTTTACTGAATGATTGTTTGTCCTATTTGTGAACTGTATTCGTGACATCCATAGCAATTTACTGTTACTGAACTGTTACTGCTACTGTTACAGAGATCTCTGTCAGTTCTTATGTTTTGAACCACTACTGTTTACTGATATGATGGCCATCATTGACTGCTCGGTCTGTTAAGACCTACTGTACTGTTTTACTATTAGATGTACCACATATGGCTATTATAGTTTCTGAATGACTGTTATGGTATCAATTATGAGCCACAAACTGAATGACTGATATACTGATAAATGACTATTTTCAATACTGTCAGTTCAGTACTTTTAATCAGCTCAATTATCAGTCATGATCAATTCAGTTTAACAGTAATCAGTCAGTCATTAGTCGGTAAACAGTGTTTAGTCGGTAAACAGTGTGAGGGTTGTTACAGCTTTAGCTTACTGTTTATATATATATATGTAGGTGTTCAGACACCGGACCGGAGTTAGGAGCGTCGGATTAGCTCTTGTTTTGTCAAGCCAACCACCGTGCCTCACTGCGAGGTTTCAAGTCCTTCAAGCTAGGACTTTTTGGGGTGTTTTAGTTTTCTCTTTTTGTATCTAGTTTTGTAACACTGTATAGACTGATGATATGTGTACCTGTACTGTACTGTTATGGTAGGGATTTGGTCCCTAACTTGAATATATGTATATGATGTATGTACATACTGTTTCGTTTCGAATGTGAACATGTTTTAAAAAGTCTTTTTGCATACAGACTGTCATAACTCATTGGACATCTTTTAATTACTGTTTTGGCTTCCGCCAGCCCCTGTACTCTGTATTACTGTTTTACTGTTAACCAAGCCTTCGGTAATCTTTAGGTCGTGACAGTTATGACACCGTAGTGTATATTATGACATTGTTATGATTCTTTGTACTAATTGTTATATGTTCAAAAAAAGTTATGATTCTTTCATTAAACCTTTTAAATGACCTGTTTAGCATGTTACTTTTTATGACGTGGCACAATATGGACTACCAATGAGTGCATATCATATGTCCTTTTAGAGAGTGCACATTGTAGACTTTTCCATGAATTAAATCTGTCATAATTGAAACTATAAGGATTTAATTGACACTGCCTCTAAATTATAGGGACCAATGGTATAATTGGCCCTTAAAATAATGTTATAACCAACATCACACTAAACCATAATTAAAAGAATGCATCCTACCACAAATTGACGTATTGTTTTTGTAATATCAACTACAAAATGCATAATCTCACTACAAATTACGAAACAAAATGTCTAAAATTTTATGGTTTGTGTAACAAAAGTTTGTAACTTAGTTATGACGTTTTTTGTTACGTCAATTTGTAGTAAAGTTACACATTTTGTAATTGATGTTACGAAATTTTATGGTAAAAATAAGACAATTTATGATAGGGTGCATATGATACACACTCCTTCAATAATTAATATCACAATAAATCATAAACAAATGCCATAAAGATCGTTACTGAGGCATATAGTACACACCCTTGATGATGTACAATAAAATTCTCCATTTATTAACCCCAAGAGATTTGACTTAGTAGAAGGAGAGGCAACCAAACAGGTCATACGGTCAACTCTCAAGAAATCCAAACATCTCCAAGCCTTGAGATCACTGGAGATTTGCCTAGTTGTTATGGATGCTTGCCATTCGGTTGTGGCCGCAGAATCTCTAATCCTTTATTCGTTCGCCGGATTGGCGGATTGAAAAAAATCAATCCGCATTTGCCAGATTGGTAGATGCGGGTTGAGCAGATTGGCAGATAGATGCGAATCGGTTTGGTAGTTTAAACTTTTACAAATTTTGAACATAATATAACAACTTATCAATATTTTTTTTTGGATAACAATCCAACTCAACATAACCAAAAGATTATCAAGTAAATTGTCAAATAGCAATAATAAATATATATAAGAAAATCATGCATTATTAAAACTATTTCATTATTTTTTTTTATTCAAAAACTATTTGATTTGTTTTTTTTTTAAATGATAAAATTAAGCCTTATATTTTTTACACAAAAATACCAAATATCAACATTTATCATTTGATAAAAGAATTTTCAAATTGAAAACACAACAGAATATCTAAATTTATTTTTCAATTAAAAATACAAACAAAATATTTAAATAAATTAAAAACACAAAATCTTACAAATTATTATGGGTGCTCACAATTTGGCGGTTCGATTGTAGCCAAAGGAACCTCAAATCTATCATCCGTCCAAAACTAGGTGGATTGAAAAAAATCAATCTACAACTGTCCGTTCGTCATCACGCATCCATCCAAAATACAACGAATCAGTTCTGTTCGATCAATTTAGACGGATCAAAATATCCGCTGAGTATCCCTACTATTTCTTAACTTCATAATCCCAAAACTAATCAAGGCACATGTAAACTAACCTAAATAACTAATCATATAAAAAAATAAAATAAAAAAAGAATTCTCCGTTTACTTATAATTAAGGAAGTGATATTTCTTAATAATTTAAATCTTGTTTATCATAACTTAAAAAAGTTAAAAAGTCGCTATTCTACTTAATATTTTATTTAAGTTACATTACCTTTCTATCATATCATTTCAAATTCAACCCATACTCAATTTATATTTCATAAAAATTCAAAAAATACACTTATTTAGATCCTCCCAAATAATCCTTAATAACTATTATATCTTTTTATAATTTAAAATATTAAAATAATATTTTCCAATAATTTAAGATTATTCTTTTGTATATAAAGCCCCACTCTCAAGCCACTCACTGCTCCGTACAGAGGATGTTTCACTTCCTCTCTCTACAGCGTAATATACAAAGATGCTTCTGAGGAGCTCTTCGTCTCCAATCTCGAACTCATCATGGATACCCAACTTGCGAGAATCCGCGCCAGACTCCGATCACCCTCGCCAACTCATTCGAACCAAGTCCTTGTCACGCGGTGCTCTGTGTCCCACCATAGGCGAACAAGCATTGGGTTCCAAATCAAGGTCACTGGAGAGGGTGTTGTCGAATGCTGAGTTGTGGGTCGACGCTGATCATGAAAAGGGGCCGCAGACGGTGGTTGCTGGCGGCGGCGGCGGCGGGGGTGCTGGAGGAGGGAGAGGATTGGAGGGTGGAGATGGGTTTAGTGGATATGATGGTACGGAAGCTTATTACCAAAAGATGATTGAAGCAAATCCTGGAAATGCCTTGTTACTTGGAAACTATGCGAAATTTTTAAAAGAGGTAATACAACATAATAATAATCATCAAATTTTGGTTAGGGTTTAGCTTCTTTGTTTTTTTTTTAAATTATCATTTCAATTTAGGCCAATTTTAAAATGGATTTTGGTGATTCGTCAGTAGAATATTTATGTAAAAAAAATAATAATAATAATATGATTAGATATTGGTTTATATGTCATATTTGTTTTTAAAAAAAAGTCATTTATATACTTTTAGGAATAATTATTCATTTTTTATAATATAAATTTGATTTAAATATATCATTATTAATGTTTGATCATTTTTATTTTTTTTGTATAAATATTTTATTTGACGAAGTTTAAATTATTAAAATGAGACTTGTGTGTGGACTTTATGCCTTTTTATGTTTTCTTAAGGTGTAAATTTGGGCCGACCCAGTCCAACTCAGGTTGGGCCTCGCTGGCTCTCGCTAAAATTTGGGCCGGGTTGGGCCGAGCCACTGGTTAGAAAATTAGGCTTAAGCCAGGGATATTCAAGTCTTGGGTGGGCCTCGGCGTGGGCGGACTTAAACAATTTTTTAAATTTTTTTCTAATATTTTTTTCAATCAAAATTTTATTGTTTTCCATCAAAAAAGACAATGGCTTCGGGCGGGTAGGGCCTGGGGCCAGGTTTTGAGTGAGTCTTAAGCGAGTTGATAGGTCAAGCCACAGGTTGGGCCAAGCTTCAAAATGATGATGCAGGCCTAAGGTCTCGGGCTGGATTAGGCTCTGGCTCGGGCCCAAACAGGCCTAAAAGGGCCGGACCTATCCCCGGACCGCTCACAAACTGCGGGCCACTTTTACACTCAGTTTTCTCATGTTGGAATGTCAACCTGGTAGCCTAACGTTTGTGTAAATTCTGTGTTGATTTTGTGGAAATTTGTGAACAGGTTCGGGGAGATCTTGCGAAAGCAGAGGAATACTGTGGGAGGGCGGTGTTGGAGAACCCAAATGATGGAAATGCTATGTCATTATATGCTGATTTGATATGGCAGACTAAAAGGGATGCTCACCGTGCTGAAAATTACTTCGATCAAGCTGTTAAAGCTGACCCTGATGATTGGTGGGATTACAATTATGCTCAGCTCTTGTTTTATTAGATTCATATTTCAAACTATCATTGCTTGAATATGAAATTACATCTTTGCAAATTAAAAATGGCATTTTGCTCTAGAAATATTTTGGATGTAGTTTGAAACAAGTTATTTGTATTTTGATGGCATTTCTGTTTGGGTTGGTTCAATTCTTGGTGTCTATTTGTTAATAGCTTTAAGTTTTTAGAATTAGTGATGATCTAACATGATATTAGAGCTCTCATTTAACAAGTTCTTGGTTTTAATCTTGTCGTGCTTGTTAAATCTATTATTGTGCACTCAGTTTTATCTGTGTTCCTATACTTTGTTTTCTCAGTCGATTTGCCTCTCCACGTGCGAGACGAGATCACACATAAGAAGACATGTTAGTTCGATATACAGTGTTGGACCCATTTACTAACAGCTTGTTGGTGTCATCTATATGAAGGGCCAGTGACAAATGATCTAGCTTGTATTTGAATGAGGTTATAGCTTGTAATCAATTCTGTCTAGTATATTTTTGTTCAACATGAATCGGGTTTCCTCTAAAAGTTGATAAAGCTTAAAATTTCAATTGGGTATTGTTAGCACTGTTTCAATCATATGCTCTTTAAAGTGATCATGCTAGCTTAAATCTTCATTAGTGGTTGTGAATACATAAAAAATAGCCGATATTGTATACCCTTTTAAGTTGTTCAAATTTCAAAAGATTGCCCTCTGACTGATCTTCAACTGGTTCTTTACGTACTCAGAATTGAGAGTGTTTAATTTTTGGTGCAGTTATGTTCTAGCTTCGTATGCGCGATTCCTTTGGGATACGGAAGAGGAAGAAGAAGAAGCAGAGCATTATGGAATGGACAGCAGCTTCTCATCCCCCTCTAACTACAGCTTCTCAGGGTAACACTCAACTACTCTCTGTCCTGATTAGCAGTCCTATACAGTTTTCTCCTTTTCTCTTTTTTTTTGTTTTTGTTTTGTTAATTTCTTCTTCTTCTCACTCTCTTTGTAATCATATGTTGAATATAGCCTATAGGAAACATGACTTTTAGCTGTAACTTTCTATCAATAATGAATAAAATTTTGTACAAATTATTTTTGTGAATTTGAGAGATGAGAAGATATATGATATGTTATGATCTTCTCTCTTCTTTGTCTGCTTGTCTCTTCTTATTGTATTATGATTATTTTTTCCGTATATTTGCATTTAAAACATGGTTGCTGAGTTTGGAGTTCGGGATTTGTTGAACCCTCAGGGGTAAGTTGAATACATTGGTACCTAATTAGATATATTGAATTGAGCTCAGAAATTGAATTTGTTTATACCTGATCACAATTCATTGCAGTTGACTATCAAATACAGACTTATTGTTGATTAGTATTAGATATTACTACTGGATATCAATACTTGAAATGTTAAAGGGTAGTAGTTAAAATTCTAGTTATAAGCTATTCCAACATTAACTTCAATTAATGGACAAATCTGAATCTTTATTTGTCATAAAATGCTAACAAATCTGATGTGTCGTAATCTCAACGCTCCGATTCAATATAGTTATTGGTGTTTGAAACCCCTATAGTCAGTGTATTGACAAGTGTTGAAGAATCGAATTGCAGAGGTGGAAATAAGGAAGATTGGGAAATTAATGCTTGGAGTCTGTTTAACAAATTCATGGCCACATGTTAAAAAAGCCTGTGCTAAATTTTTAGGCTGTGTTTGGTACAGCTTTCTAATTACAATTCTACCTCTTCACGTGAATAAAGTGTTTGAATAAGGTTTTGAAAAATTAATTCCACTACACATTTCAAAATACATTTTTGTTTCACGTTTGGCAGAATTCATTCCAAAACAAACTTCCAATGCAAAACTCTCACCTTTTCATACAGTTTTTGAATTTTTTGAGTCTATGGGACATTCCCCAGGACATCCCCCTAAACATCCCTCCGGATGTCCGGCCGGTTGAGCATTGCAGTGGTTTTTTTGTTTTTTTGTTTTTGGGTAACTCTTTCATACATACATACATGTATTTGTGCTATTGTAGACTAATTTTCTGTTGAAAGCGAATAAAAAAATTTGAATAAAATTGAATTGTGTACGGTAAACTGTGTAGATGTTAACAAAAATAATTTTCTAATTTTTGTTTGACTCTTACATAGATAATACTTGATAAATTCTTTGGCCATTTATTTGAAAATAACAATGCAATAAATAGAAAATAATTTGTGACAGTAATTATTAAAAATATAAAAATATTTTAACTGAAAAATATTTTTGAAAAATTTGAACCAAATATACAATCAAAAATTATTTTAATAAGTAATTAAATATTTATTTTTTAAAAAAAATTATTGCCTTTGTAATATTTTAAATTAAAAAAATTTGATTAATGTTATTTTCTGTTAATAATTAATTTTTTTAATTGAATTTTAAAAAGAGTTTGTTTATTGATCAAAATTTTCGATAGAGTTTTGAGTAGTGTTTTTGGTTATGAGTTATAACAATTTGAATTAAGTTTAGAATTTTTTTTTCAAAACTCATAACCAAACAAATTTTCTTATTTCACATGTCACATCAAATATTAAAAACTCAATTCAACACTCAACTCAAAACTCAATTCAAAATTCTTTTTAAAACTTATAAACAAACAAATTTTCTACACTCAAATCATAATTTTAAAACTTATAAACTCAAAATACAATTTTATTCTCAAATTATATTTAGAAAATTCTATTAAACGCTACCTTAATTTTCTTGGAACTGATGGCAGCAAATATCTCTCTCACAGAAAATGATCAATTGATATATACCCAACATGTAATTTTTCAGACACAATAATGTATCCGATGCTTCTAGTTTTCAATTAAAGTAGGTTGATACATGACAAACAATCTTCATATGATAAGTCCTTGACAAAAGATAGGCTTCTGATTGGCTCTCTCTTATGTCTTTGTCGCCCCTAATGTTCTCTCTCTCTCTCTCTCCCTCTAAAAGATATTCTTACTTTGTGACCAGTATGATTGTATCCCTTACCCCTTTGTATGGGCCACGTGATTTCCCATTGTTCACTCGTCACTCTTGAAGTGGACTCATAATGGTCCCGTTTGATGTGATTATTAAAATAAATTATAAATTCTGATTTTAATTAAAAATTATTAATTTATTTGATATAATTGTTAAATTATAGATTTAAATTATTAAATAATATTTGTTAAATAAGTTGTGAAATACCTTTTTCAATTAACTTTTATTTTTTGTTATTTACTATTTGTCTACATTTCTCATAAATAATAATAATAATAATTTATAGTCCATTTGGATCTTTTTTATTTCAAAAAAAATAAAAAATAAAAAAAATCTAAGAATATAATTATAAATTAGCATGTCCACAACAGAAATTGATAATCAGAAGTAATTGGTGAATAGTTTTTCAAAATCAACTTTTTTGAATTAAAATAAGTTATTAGAATCAGAAACTGTTTGAAATAAATTTAACTAAACAATCTAAAATAACTTTTTCAAAATTAAAAGTTATAAGTTGACTCAAAAAAATTTAAACAAACACCCCCAATATCTTTTGCTAGAATTATTATTTTAAGAAATTTGGAGGCTTTAAAATGAAATTAATAAACTTTTTCATGTGAAAATGAGTTTCAGTCGAGTTATTTTTTCAAAAAAGAAAAATATATATATATATATATATAATAAAGAAAAAAGAAAAAATGATGGGATTCAATTCAATCATGCTACTTTTGCAAAAAAATAATATTCAGTCACGGTTCCCGAGGTCACTCTTATAATACACTCATAACATAATAATATCTTTGGAAAAATTAATATATGATAATGAGATTCACGCAAGCTGTGCACCTCGAACCGGGAACGCAGCAGGATACTCTATGGGGCTGGCTTCTTTACCATCTCAAATTGGAATAAAAAGTATTTTTAGGCCTGTAAGGGCTCACTACGGGTCTCATTTCGATAATCTGAACCGTTTAATGTGTAGAACTCGTCGAATACTATATATTTATAAATGATCACATTGATCGGATATTGATAGTTATGTGATTAAATCAATTTTGTATAAAAAAAAATAGACACTGAAAAAATAAACGATTGACAAAAATCTGATCCGATGAAATAGCTATCCATATCCGATTAACATGCTGTTTTACAGACATATAGTAGTCGACGAGTTCTACATATTGAACAGTTCAGATTATCGAAACGGTATCATGATAGGCTCTCACGAGCCCAACAGTACCCTCCAGTCCGACTAGATCGGAGGCAAGTCATTCCCATATATGTATATACATGCAAAGTCAGTCCTCTAATGTGCAATTGCTTATTGGGAATGATCAGTCAAGTGTCACAAATTGAATTATTACCCATTGTGCATTATATGGATTAATCAAGTCTCTCAATTATTATTAATTATACATGAAAATACACTATTGAATCTTTCTTTTATTTTATTTTTTTCCCCTCAAAATGAGCTTGACTGAATTCTATTTTCACAAATAAATGTTCCTAAATTTATTTTCAAACATTCCCATTTCCTTTACATCAATTCTCCCCGCGTCTTCTGATATTTGGAAGTTGGCTTTTATAATAAGACTTGGAGCTGCTGATGATAAAATGTATGTACTCTGTCAATCCTACCATAAATTATTGAGATATGTCACTATTCATATCCCTAATAGGGTATATATGGTGTCTTTTTGTAACTACATTATCAATTTTATTAAACATGAATCACAAAATAATATAGCTTTTTCACCATGGAAAAAATATAAATAAATAATATGTACAAAAATCATAATATTCATCACATAACTATAAAGAGTCCTAACTTTAAGGTTGAATGACTTAGTGAATGGCTTTTACCTATATTTAGAAGCCCTGACTTTTATGTCTAATGATAAATAAAATTAAACATTACATCACTTTAATGTAAATTGAATGAAAGAGGCATTAAGGTTGTGTTTAGATAAGAATTTGATGAGGGAAAGGAAAATGAAAAGAAAAAGTGAATTGTGATTTAGACGAAGGATTTATAAGGAATTTTCAAAGAAAAAGGAAAATGGAAGGAAAAAGTGAATGAAAGTTATCTTCTAAATCATTCATTTTTCCTATCCTTTTCATTTCCCTTCTACAAATCCATCATCAAAGATTTGATGCAGCCTAAAGTAATTTTCCTTGATCTAACTATGCCCCAAAGTATTCATTCAAGCAATCATGGATGTTTTGAAATGAATGGAAAAAGAAACTATTTTTTTTAAGCGATTTATTAGATGATTGAAAACAGAGGATCTTGAATATTATTCGGAGCAGAGGTATATACAAACTAACAACTGACATCTATTTTATCATCGCCACCTCTATCATACTTGTGTGCATACACTGCTGCAGTGTCTTGAACAAATTGCCAGTAATTCAACATTAGTGGCGGAAACAGAAAACTAAATCAGAAAGGATATTTATTAATTATAATTATAATTTTTTTTCATAACTAACAATAAGAAGATAATAATAATTTTTGAATTAATATTAAGTACAAAAACTTAAATAAATTATTACAAATGTACTTCACGTAAAATTTTATAATTAACTTCGAGTAAAATCGAAAAGTTACGTATAACTAGTATATGAGGAACAATATAAAAAAGTCATATATTTAAATCTTAAAATAGATTATATAATGATAAGATAAATTAAATTTTTACAAAATTTGAGTAAATATTTCATATAATAGTGATATCACGTCATCATTAACATATGATATCAACCAATAGTAAAGCAACATATGAAAGATGAACTCCACGTGTAAATATAACTATCACTCTAGTAACTTTTACATATATAGTAAGATTAATTATATTTACATATCAATAATGATGGATATTGCTTTTATATTGAGTTTTTTTCACAAAATTTTTATACATAAAAATATAATTTGTTGTAGTCCTTCATTTTCAATAAAATAATCACTATTATTTTCATAAATTTAGAAATACCATTGACATTTTATTCTAAATATTATTTTTGTTTAAAATTTTATTTATATACATATGTCAAAAATAAATAAATTCAAAATTCAGGGGCACGTGACCCCTAGTCTCCATGTGGCTCC